GCCTCTGCCTCCTGAGTGCTGGGATTAAAGGCATGCACCACTAAGCCCACCCAGCAGTTCACAGGTATTTTTTTTTTTTTACATATCTAGTGTTACTTTACCATTGGATTCCTTTGGAAGGGGCAGCTACCCTTGGCTCCTCCTGTCCCCTCCTGAGTTTCCTTCTGGTAAACAGCAACTCAGTGGAACAAAGCAACAGGTTTCAGAAGCCAAACCACCGGCATCCATCTCCCGGCAAACCCATCATCTTCCCCCAAAGCTCTCTTTGCTGTTTCCCATCTGGCTGCTGGCAGAGCCGCAGGGCCTAGAGGAGCTTGCAAAAGGGAAAGGAGAGATAAGGTCAGTTTTGTGCTTAACTTTCCTTTCTGCATCCTAAATCAGGGCCTGGGGCCAGGGATGAATTGTGCACAGGTTAGCATTGTAGATGTGGGATGGTAGAGAGGATGCCTGCTAGGATGTGGATAGGATGAGGGGTTCTCTGGAAAGCTGTCACAGAGGGTCCCTGTAAATCAGGCCTGGGTAGAGAGTGGCACATACACCTGGGAAGGCCAGCCCTCCATTTCTCTCCTGAGTCTCTACCCCCCCCCCCCCCCCCCCCCCCCCCCCCCCCCCCCCCGCCCCCGCCACCCACCCCACACCCCCCCCCCCCCCCCCCCCCGCAGCTCCCATGTACAGGATCCAGCTCTCAATCTGTTCCTCTGCTACCAGGCCAGGTGAGCTTGGCACCATCTCTGCTCTGAGTTTCTACTCAGTCCCTTGCTTTCCCAGTCCCCATCTCCCAATCTGTAACATGGGAGCAGCTGGAAACCAGAGCTGAAGATTAGTTGATGCCAAGAGTCTTCTGAGATATGTTAAGATCCTGAAATCTGAAATCTGGCTGGGCACATACCTTTAATTCCAGCACTTGGTGGCACATGCCTTTAATCCTAGCACTTGGGAAGCAGAGGCAGGTGGATCTCTGTGAGTTCAAGGCCAGCCAGGTCTACATAGCAAGTTCTAGGCCAGTTGAGACCTAGGCAAGTTTGAGACCCTGTCTCAAAAATACCAAAAAAAAAAAAAAAAAAAAAAAAAAAAAAAAAAGATCCTGAAATCCCCCACTCCTTTGGTCTGCCTTCTCCTGGGGATGTGGTACCAGCCTTGGCAGAAAGAGGAGGGGATGACTTGGGGGTGTGGGATGATGGGGTCAAAGGTGAATACCACACAGGACCAGCTTGGATTAGATCTAAGGCTGTGGGCTCCAAAGGGAGGGCTTGACTACCGCCCTGGTCCAACCTGGCTGGGAGAGGACAGGTAAGATGACCCTCTGCCCTACCTGGCTGGAGAGGCCAGAAGCCCTTTGGTGAATAAGTGGTTGTTACTGAAAAGCCAGGAGGCACAAGCATCTCACCTGGCAGCTAGTAACACCCCTTTCTCCACATGAGTGGGGCTGCCAGCCCAGCCTCTGTCATGTACTGCCCAGCATGGTAGTGTTCTCACCTGGTCATTCTGGGGCCTAGTGTGTAGACTGTCAGGCTGAGAGACCTAGTTGTTGTGAGGAAGGGGTTGAAAGGCATTCCTGGGCTGTGTTCCAGCTCTTCTGTTTACTAGCTGAGTGGAGTGGGCCAGTTCCTTCCCTTTGACCTGCCTCATGTATATTTGCTTGGGCCAGCAAGATGGCTTAGTGGGTAAAGGCTGTTGCCTCACAACCTGACTTCAATTCCTAGAACCCACATGGCAGAAAAAGAGAGCCAGTTCCCATAAGTTGTCCTCTGACTTCTGCACGTACATCCCATCAGATGGGTGTGCTACAAGAACTTCCATCTCACAGAGCTAGGATGAGATTTGAATGAGTGTAAACTGGGCATGGTGGTGCACGCCTTTAATCCCAGCACTCAGGAGGCAGAAGCAAGTGGATCTGTGAGTTTGAGGCCAGCCTGGCCTACATAGAAAGTTCCAAGTCAGCTGGGGCCACAGGGAGACCCTGTCTCAAAAAGACCAAAATTAAATGAATAAATGAAACAAACACAAACAAGCACACAAAAGTTGTCTTCTAGGGGTTGGAGAAATGGCTTAGGGGTTAAGAGCACTGGGTATTCTTGCAGAGGACCCAGGTTCAGTTCCTAGCACCCACATGGTGGCTTACAACAGTCTTTAACTCCAGTTCCAGAGGATCTAATGCCCTCTTCTGGCCTCCTCAGGCACCAGCACTTACATATATGCAGGGAAAACACTCAGAACCCTAAAAATAATTAAAATCTTTTTTTTGGGGGGTCTTTTTGAGACAGGGTCTCCCTGTAGCTCCAGGTGCCTGGAACTCACTTCATAGACCAGGCTGGCCTCGAACTCACAGTGGATCCACCTGCCTCTGCCTCCCAAGTGCTGGGATTAAAGGTGTGTGCAATCACGCCCAGAAAAAATAATTAAAATATTAAAAAAAAAAAAAAAGCTGTCCTTAAACTTCCATATGCCCTCACAGGCTCACAGATAAATGTGTACACAATGAATAAATGAATGTGATTTTTTTTTTTTTTTGGTATTTTTGAGACAGGGTCTCCCTGTAGCCCCAGCTGGCCTGGAACTTGCTATGTAGACCAGGCTAGCCTAAAACTCTCAGCATCTGCCTCTGCCTCAGAGTGCTGGGATTAAAGGTGTGAGCCACCACACCCAGGCTATGAATGAGTTTTTTTAGTGTCTCACTATGCAGCCCCAGATGGCCTAGGCTTTGCAATGTATAAGAGGAGAGGCCTCGAATTCACAGAGATCTGCCTGCCTCTGCCTCCCAAGGGCTGGGATTAAAGGTGTATGTGACCACAGCTGGTCATATAAAAATGTTTAAGAAAAAATAATGACGAAATTATCACCCCAAAGTAGCTCCTGGTCCTAGTTTCAAGTTTCTGAAGCAGGATGGACCCTACAGAATTTATCTGTACAAATCTTTTTGAAAATTTTTATTTTTATTATGTGTGGAAGTGTTTTGTGTGTTAGTGTACTATGTGTATACAATGCTCACTGAGGCCAGAAGGCATCAGGACCCCTGGAACTGGAGTTATAGCTGACGCCATGTGGGTGCTGGGAACCGAACCCAGGTTCTCTGCCAGAGAAGCCCATGTTCTTAACCACTGAGCCATCTCTCCAGCCCCATCTTTATTTTGCAACCTGAACCAGGACTGGTGGCTCACACCTGTAAGACTGAAGGAGAGAGATAGTTCAAGGTCAGCCAGAGAAGGAAAAGGAAAAAAAAAAAGATGAGACTTCCTCTGTGTGACTGCTAGGTTTCTCAGGTACACCAGAGACCAAGATGGGGTGGTCAAACAGGACCTCCCTCCACCTCCAACCACAGGGATACCATGATTTAGTCTACATCCAAGCTCAGTGTGTGACCTCACTCACTGCAGAGTTCTGAGGAAAACAGAACTGAACAGCACCCAAGTTTGAAGATAGACAAACCAACTTTGTTCAAATAGGGAAAATCTGGGGAGAGCTCAGTGGTACTCTCCTATCCTGTACCCATCTCCTGGGTCTGTGGAGCCCGGAGCTGAGTGTAAACCCATGCAGGCTCCTGCCATGATCATGGGGCTGCTGGTGCTGCTGGCTTCCCAAGAGCCCTGGTGGCAGGTCTACACCATGTCTGGAGAGGACAGCCCAACTTGGGGACTCTTGCTGGATCACCAAGAGCTTTGTCCTCTCCCAGTCACTGGAATCAGGCCCCAGGGGGCCCCAACACACTCAGGGGACACCCCTGTGCTGCCCAGATTGGCTCCCTCTCTCCCTCATGGTCCCTGCCACGCCCTGATCCTCTTTGTTAAACATGTCTCTCACTAGCTTTAACGAGCCTGTCTAGGGACAGAGAGACTTTCTAATTATGCTCTAATTGCTTCCCATGGGGAGGATAAATAGGGAGTCCCCATTTCTCTGTAGATGCTCAAGGAGAGAATCTTAGGATTCTGCCAAAACTCAGGCCCGTGTTCCCTGCATTTAGGAGAGCAAATGGGGGCCCTACCCAGGCCTTGCCCACTTTTCTTAGAGCCACCCCTGGCTGAGGGAATGTGGGCGTGAGGAAGGGAAAGTCTGAGATAGGAGCCAGGGCTGTGGGTGGAGGGTCACCTGGTTCCCACAGCCAAAGCAGACGCACTCCAACCTCGTTTCCTGGGACGCACCCAGGTGGTGAAAGGAGCAGACGTTGTGAATTAAGAATTTGATTCCATCTCTGCATCATTTTCCCTTTGGCGAAGGTAGCCTTGGTCCTAAGTGTCTCTTCAGCTAGCGTGGGATAGGGAGACCCCACCTGACCATGCGCTCAGGCCCAGCTCAAAGCATGTCACCTGGGAGTCCTTTCTCCAGTCAAAAGGAGACCATTTAGCTTGCCCTCAGGGGTTCTGATTGCAGCGCCTGCGTGTGACTCCTGAGGTGTAGGAGAATTACAGGGCCAATCCAGTAACTGAACAAACCCTGTACCTCACCAGAGCAGCAGGACCTCCTACTTTACAGAAGGCCTGAGGACTAGGGAGGCTCAGTGACCAAGGGGCCCCCAACTTACAAGTAGTAGTGGCGACACCAGAGTCCCAGAGCCTGCAGGGCGTACTGAGGCAGAGGGGCACAGGAGGTTTGGTCCCTCCAAGAGGTCTCAGGGTGGTGGAGAGGGATAGGAGGTGGGGCAGCTCCAAGCACCATGACAGAAACAGCCTCAGGACCCAAGAGTCCAAGAGCCGAAGGTGATGGCTAACCTCAAGTGTCAACTTGATGAGAACTAGAATCACCTGGGAGATGGGCCTCTGGGCATGCCTGTGGGGAGTCTTGATTAGGTTGCATGGGAAAACCTGCCCACTGTGGGTGGTACCATTCTCTTGGCTGGGCTCCAAGTCAGAGCCACATTCATTGCTCTCTTCTCCCAGCCTGTGCACTCCTGCTGCAGTTGGTATTTTATCATAGCAACAGAAAAGTAACCAAGACACAGACCAGTCCAGCCCCTCCCCTCTCCACACTGAAATAAGACCCCAAGAAGCAGAGACAGACACCAGCGGTGCTAGAAGGGCTTTTTAATGTTTCCTTGATGAGTATCAATATCATGGGAAAAAAATACAAAGTTTAGGATCTAGAACTGATCAGGATGGATTTGGGAGTTGCTGGGTTGAGGCACAGCCCTGACTGTCAGCATGGGAGTTAAGCTACCTACAGAGAAGCACCGGTCAGGAGTCTGGTGAGTGTCTCAGAGTCAGGATCTGGCAGGACTCGGGAGGTAAAGCATTCCACACCAGGCTGCCACCCTCTTCTGAACAGGCCTAATTTAGTGCTCTCTCTCTCTCTCTCTCTCTCTCTCTCTCTCTCTCTCTCTCTCTCTCTCTCTCTCTCTCTCTCATTCCCAGTGGGTAGCTAGACCAGGAGGTGGGTCAGCCATCAGGTATCACCCCTGGGGCTCAGACTCCAGCTTCTACTCCTGCTTTAGATAGAGTTACAGGAGCTGGGCAAAACAGATTTCAGAAAAACAAACAGCCAGGCATGGTAGTGCAGGCTGTAATCCAGTACCCAGAGGGATGTGAGGAGGCTGCTATTGAGTCCAAACACGCAAGGCCAAAAGTTAACAAAACCCCCTTTTTTTTTTTGGCCTTTTTGAGACAGGGTCTCTCTGTAGCCTCAGCTGGCCTGGATCTTACTATGTAGACCAGCCTGGCCTTGATCTCGAAGAAATCCACCTGCCTCTGCCTCCCAAATGCTGGGATTAAAGGCCTGTGCCACCACGCTGGGCCCCAAACCCCACTTTTGCTTACCTGAAATTCAAACTTAATACAGTGTTGTTTCCCTCCCTTCCTTCCTCCCTTCCTCCCTTCCTTCCTTCCTTCCTTCCTTCCTTCCTTCCTTCTTCCCTCCCTCCCTCCCTCTCCCCCCCTTTTCCTTTTTTTCCTTCCTTCCCTAAGCCTGGCCAACAGCCCACCCCTGGGCCCCGGCCTTTGTAGCGGAGAAGGGCTGAGAAAGGAAGGAGATCCTGTTCCCCAAGGGGAGGGAACCACACAGTCAAAACACAACTCACAGTTTCTAGTAGCTCTGGGGTGGGGGGACTAACACTGGGGGTACCTACCCCCACAGTTCAACCTGGGCTAGTCTGCAAGCCCAGACTTAAATAAGCTAATAGTCACTGTGCCATACAAGAGGAGAGACTTAGGACAAAGCTTGCTACAGGATTTTGGCCTCCTGGTAGGGATTTATTATCAAGACTCTTGAAGGTTTTTGACATTGTCCTATCTGGGTTTAAACATAATAATACCAACCAACAAACATACCCATAGGGCAGTGCCAGCCCCATTCCTAGTTATCACCAAGGAAACACTCCTTCTTGAAAACCCAAGAAGCCGGGGGCTTTCCTTCTGTCCCGTGCTGGCCCCTGGGAAGGGCTGCATTTAGTGTATAGGTTAAGGCCATCCCCTGCTCAAGCTGAGCCCCAAGAGCACCAGGCTTCCCATGAGGAGCCAGGGGTGGAGGAGGGAGACGCCAGGACATGTGGCCCCTCCTACCTCCTGCTGCACTCACCTCCCTGGTGGGCACCAAATGCCAGGAGAGAAAAGGGAACCAAGTATCCGTGCCCTTGGGGAGGAGGCCGCCCCTGGCTGTCCTGCTGCAGAAACTCAGGTTGATACCTGGCATCCATCTGAGGCCAGGCTGGAAGCAAGGGGCCCAGAGAGGGGAGAATAGATTCCCACTGGGACACAGCCCTGTCCCAGGCATGACAGGCAGTCAGGCCATTAGTTGGCACCCATGCAACCTCTCCAGCACCCCCTAATCCCCGAGGTTCAGGGTCTACTCCAATGCAAGGCTATCGGCTACTCCTGCACAGTAAGGTCAAAGGTCACAGTGGAGGTGGTGGTGACAGGGAAAGGATGCAGCCCAGAGCTGTGGAAACTGCTCTTGCTTTCTGTTCAGCCTCACACTCGGATCTCATCTTCCTCTTCCTCATCCATGAAGGAGAACTCCTTGTCTGGCTGCCTTGGGGCCATGGCCCGGGCCCTCTCGGGGCCTCGGAAGGCTGGACTGCGCTCCTCCAGGACACCCGAGGTGCAGCTGGACAGGGAACTGCTGTCTCGAGTGGTGTGGCTGCCCACGCTTCGGGCTGAGCTGGGGCTGGGGGCTGCCGCTGCCCACCCATCATCCTCCAGAGTGTGTGGGGGCAGCACTGGGGCTAAGTCTGAGCTGGCCTTGCCTTCCTGTCTCCTCAGAGGAGGGGCTGCCTCCAGCAAAGAGGGAGCCTGGACCATGCCACTGGAATCTTCTTCGTCACGGTAACCACCACCCTCCTCCTCCTCTGGGTCCCACTCATCCTTATCCATGATGCTTAGGACGTCGCCCAGCATGGAGGGCCCCAGGTCAATGTGAAAGGACATGATGGATTCGGCATGTTTCAGCCCGTAGCTGGCCTTGGGCACAATGGGCAGATCCGTCAGGTCCCCAAAGGCCTGCTCATCTAGAAGGGGGTCGGGGGAATGGGGCCCTGTGGCCCCATTCCGATGGAGATCCATTCCTGTCATGCCTTGCTCCTGGTCACCATCCCCAGCATCTACCTTCTTCACAGGGCTGGACGACAGGCTCTTGGGCAGCTTGCTGGAGCCCTTCTCTGCAGCTTCCTTCTCATTGAGCTGGGGCAGGGACATGGCGTTCTTGACAAACAGTGCAGAATCCCGCAGGGAGCCCAACATGTCTCTCTGTTCCCGGTCCCCTCGGGTCACCGACTGTGACCGTTTGCTGCCCCGGAACTTCCGAGACAGAAGGCTGCGTTTGGAAGATGAGGAGGCCTGTTCATCCAGGGACTCACCGTCGGCCTCACCTGCTTTGCTAGTGAGAAAGGATGTGTCCCCAAAGGCGTCCCCAGCCCGGCCTACATGCATAGTGTGGCGGAAGTCACCCAGCGGGGCACTGATCATCTCGGCGGTCAGGTCCACACGGGATCGGCGCTTGGAGTGCACAGAGCTGGACACCAGCTGCTTGAGGATGGGCATGGTGTGACCTGGGAGGGGAGGCGGACCCTCCCAAGGTGGTGGGCAGGTGTGGAGTCAGATCTGAAGTCCAAGTCCAGAGGGTGGAGAGGGTGGTATCGGGGCAGTCAGAGGGCTGCAAACAGAGAACAGGAGGCAAAGGGTTAACAGGCTGGCTTCACAGACGCAATGTCCATCTGCCAATGGACTACCATTTAACCCCAGCCCTCCATCAAAGCAAAATTATCTGAAACCCATCAGCAATCAATTTCCTAACTGTCCTTTCTTCATCCATAGCCTCCCAAGGTGGAGGAATGATTTATAAATCTAGCTAGAGTTTGGTACCTGAGACAGCCTTTCCCTGAAACCCAAGAGGGAAATAATCTTTCTCTGAAAGGGCTCCGCCTCCCTCTACCCTCCCAGAGTGGGACACTGCTAGAACTACTGGCCACCACAATTAATTAAGGTTGTAAAGTTACTCAAGCAGTTAATTCCAGGCAGTCAGTCAGAAGACATATTTTCTGCAGTCCAGCCTGATCCCTGAGGAGTTAGTGGATACCTCAGCCTGAGTCAGCGAGAAGGGAATGGCCAGGCCAGGCCTAAGGAAATGGCGATGCTGTCTGTTACTTCCACACATACGGGCAGCACAGCTCTCTTTTTGAATCAGAATTGGGGTGGGGCTGCTGGAACCCACAGAACTAGCTCCTTGGCCTTCCAACCCTCCTTAAGTGTCTCATAACTTAGGATCCCTGCCTATGACATCACTGTGGGGCACCTAGCTCTGTGTAGAGGCTCCATTTCCCATCTCTCAGGGAGATGAAGTTTGGGAAACTCCCGTTTCTTTAATTGTTAGGGATAGAGGGAGATGGGCTAGGCTATAGATGACCTTCTCCTGGGATGTACAGGTCCCTGGGTGACTAACTAGAAATCCAGAGGCCAGCAGAGGGGACTACCGGGGGACTACCCACAAGGCAAAGCCAGGCCCTTTCTCCCCAGCTAAGCTGGGCAAAGTGGAGAGAGATGGGTTCAAGGATTTAAGAAACACAGTGGTGGGAGATAGGAATGGACCCCAGGGATCTGATCCTTCCCAGTCCTGCTGACAGACGAGTCTTAGAGGCACCTTGGAGGCCCACCTGTCCCGACAGCTGCCTGGCTGGTCTCTACCTTCCCTTTCTCCCACTGTTCCTCATATTTTGGTCTTTTTTTTCCTGTCTTTTTGAGACAGGGTCTCCCCATAGCCCCAGCTGTCCTAGAACTCACTATGTAGATCAGGCTGGCCTTGAACTCACAGAGATCCGCCTGCCTCTGCCTCCAAGTGCTGGGATTAAAGGCGTGCGCCACCACGCCTGGCATATTTTGGTCTTTTTGAGACAGGGTTTCCTTCTAGCCCCAGCTGGACTGCCTATGCCTCCCGAGTGCTGGGACTAAAGGTGTGTGCTACCATGCCCGGCTCTCCTTTATATTTCTTAGCTAAAGCAAAACCTTACCCTAGTTGACACTCCGTTCCCTGCAAGCCTCGGTCCAGGGACAGTCCCTGCTGCCCGTCTTGACGACCTTGCCCACTACCTCCTTTCCCTTGCACTCTGACCCTACCCTTGAGCTTTATGAGTTATCCTGCTCCAACACCCCACTACTTGGTACCACCAACACCCTCTCAGGAAGGACAATTCTGTTTCCAGGAGACCTTCGGCAGCCAGTCCTCTGGGTCACCTGACTCTTGTAGCATTTTAGATGTCCCTTCTGCCAACAGGGGCTTGGTTAAATCTTTCTGCTGGGCTATGAGGTTCCAGAAGGTTCTAATGGGTCTGTGTTCAGAATCTTGTCCAGCAGTGTCTGGTCACACCCACTTAAAGCCTAGCCCCTACGCCCAGCCCTCCCTAACCCCTCAGTATCTCTCCCTTCTGCCTTAATTTCTGCCCCTTTCAGCCCACAGCACAGCCCTTGGGCTCCTGGCCTGACCTCTCGGTGACCTCTGCGACACCCTCCTCCCTTTTAAATTCCATGTCAAACAACCACTATCCAGTCTGATGACTTCCCTCACCAGTGAGAGTGAGCACCCCTCACCAACTCCAGGCAGTCCCACAGCAGACGCCAATAGCAGGAAGTGGCTCCCAGGCAGATCTGCTGCACAGGTGACCTGGGGCCAGCTCAGAACCAGGGAGAACCTGGGGGTGTTCCTTTCCTAGAGGCTAGCTCTCCCTTCAACCACTAGACTCCGAGGAAAGTCAGCCTCCCCACCCTCAACTCTAATGTCCCTCTGGTCCCACCCTGTTCCCCACTCACACAGGAACAGCCTGAGCAGGGCTGGCAATCACTTTCTGCAAAGAGCCAGAGTACAAAGGCTTCATCTTTGTGGCTGACAGGTCTGTCATTGCTACTGAACTCTCTTCCTAGCAAGAAGCAGCCACTGGGCTGAGGAGATACCAGGGGTGGCAGGGCACACCTCTAACCCCAGTGCTGGGAGCTAGGTGGAGACAGCAGGACTGCTGGGCTTGCTGGCTGCCAACTTGCCGACAGCAAGCACTAAGTTGGGTGAGAGACTGTTTTAAGGAGGAGTAAGGCAGAAGCAATAGGGGCAGTCACTCAATATCCTCCTCTGGCCTCTGCTATATCAGTACATGTACCCTCCCTTCACGTACACACACACACACACACACACACACGCACGCACGCACGCACACACATGCACACACATGCATGCACGCACGCACGCACGCACGCACACACGCACGCACGCACTTTTCTAAAGCAGCAGCCATAAACAGTATTCAAACAAATGGCCAAGGCTGCATCCCAACAACTTTGCCTCATGCAATCCCATCAGTTTGGCCTTTTCCAGATTGTGTCCTTTTAAATAAACCAATAAATGTGGGAAAACAACACAAAATTCACCTTCATTTACAAAAACAGATGGCAAGCCAAGCTTGGTGGCGCACACCTGTAGTCCCAGCACTTGGGAGGCAGAGGCAGGTGGATCTCTGTGAGTTCAAGACCAGCCTGGTCTACACAGCGAGTTCCAGGCTAGCTGGGACTACAAGGGGGCCCTGTTTCAAAAAGACAAAACAAAAAAACAAAAACAGATGGCAGGTAGACTTGGCCTGTGGGCAAAGAATTCATTTGGCCCCTGACCACCATCTGTGACCTCTGGACCAGCCATGATCCCCCAGGTCAAATTTTGGAGGAAACTTTCTTTAGCTCAATAAAAAGGGGCTTGGAGAGGTGGCTCAGTGAGGTAGACTGCTTGGCACCCAAGTGATAGGACCTGAGTTTGGATTCCCAGAACCCATGTAAAACGACGCAATAGCACACCTCTGTAATCCTACCGCACCTATCTATAATGAGACAGGAGGCACAGAGAGGAGAATCCTTGGAGGCTCGAAGGCCAGCGAACATAGCGGTGAGCAACTGAAAACAGACTCACTCAGTCCCAAACAGGGCAGGAGGTGAGGTCCAACACCCAAAGCTGTCCTTTCAGTCCTACACACACGCTGTGATGTATGTATGCCCACACTCACACACGCACATACAGTTTTTCTTTTTGGGAGACAGGGTCTCACTGTGTAGCCCTGGCTGGCCTGGAACTTGCAATGTAGACCACACTGGCCTCAAACTCACAGAGATCTGTCTGTCTCTCTATGTGCCACCAGGCCCAGCCCATACACTTTTTTTTTTTTTTTTGTCTTTTTGAAGCAGGGTCTCCCTGTAGCCCCAGCTGTCCTGGAACTCACTATGTAGACCAGGTTGTCCTTGAACTCACAGAGATCCGCCTGCCTCTGCCTCCCAAGTGCTGGAACTACAGGCGTGCACCACCATGCCTGGCTCATACACACAGTTTTTAATGATTTCTTTCTTTCTTTTTATTTTATGTATATGAATGTTTTGCCTGCATGTATTTAAGTGTACCCATATTGTGAAATGCCTGTGGAGGCCAGAAGAGAACACTGAATCCACTGCAACTGGAGTTCCAATTGTTAGCTGCCATGTGGGTGCTGGAAACGGAACCTGGGTCCTCTGCAAGAGCAGCCAGTGCTCTTAACCTCTGAGCCATCTCTCCAGCCCCCACAAATATTTTTTAAAAAAGAGAAAGAAAGGGAAGGCAAGATCCGTGTGGGTCATTGCAACAGGACCCTGGCAAACCCCTTTGGTTTCTCTGATACAGATGAGCAGAACACAAGCACGAAGGACCAGACCCCCTGGCCCTGTGTGCAGAGTGCTGGACCTCAAACTGCTGGAAGGGACACCCAGGTAGGTCATCTTACAGCTAGAAAAGCAGGGTCGCTGAGGCAGTGATTCAGCCTCCACCTGGCTCATACCCCAATGAGCAGTGCCGGCTGGGCTGCCGTCAGGCCCCACTCTGGGGCTTTCTCTCCCTGTGCTGGCGCTTTGCTGAAGCTCTGTGCACCATCACTGATGGAGTGCCCTCCCTGCCACTTGTCCAGGGGATCCAGGAGGGACTTCTGAAATTTCAAGACAGTTGTGTGTCATCCCAGAGCAACTTCTGGCCTGAAGATGCTTGGTGCCAGGTGATCTTCTTATTGGGGGTGGGGGACCTGGGTGGTCAGCTAGTCATAGCAGCCCTGGTCTCTATCTTAAGATGCCAGCAGCAGCCATCACTCAGTCATGACAACTCAAATGTTCTGGAGACTCGGCCCCAGATTCCCAGGAGGCAAAACTGTCCGGGGCTGAAGATGGCTACCCCAGAGTAAGAACATGTGAAAACAGAGCATGAGGACACGAGAGCGAGACAAGAGTGGGAGGAGCACCCAGGGACAGATCCAGTGCCATGAGCTTGCATAAGGGTTTCACTGTAAGGCCAGGAATCTCCCCAAAGGCCCCGGAACCTCTGCTGTACCGCAGTTTCCTATCAGAAAAGATGGGGAAACCACAGGCAGTTGCCCAGGACTCTCCAGAGATGCTGGAGAGCCCCATGGCCACCCAGAGGGACCTCACAGCCTCAGGGAAGAAGGATCCTCCCCGATCGTCCCATTAGCTGCCCCTCTCCCCAGCACTATGTTGCTGTAGCAAAAAGGACAGTGGGATGCTTAGTGAAAACCAGTTGTGGAACCCCACATTCATGCATGCCATCCTAGTCCAGCTCTCGTATTCCAGGATCCTATGCGCCTCTGCTTCCCAAAG